CACACACACACACACACACACACACACACACTCACACACGAGCTCAGCAGCGCTGCCATTCCCAGACACTCCTCGCAGGATCTGCAGAGGGGCCGGAGGAGAGCCGGTGGAGAGCCGGTGGAAGCTTGTGTCTTCACCGCGCCGGTCCTGGAAGCTGCCCACCCCCGGCACAACGCGGTGAGGAGCTCACCTTTCGCTGGGGAGGTGGGTGAGGAAGCCGGGCAGCAGCCAGGGAGGGGGAGAGGGTCCCAGGCACCAGAGGGTCGGTCGATGCCCAATGCTAGGGGCTTGGTGAGAAATGGGGCCGTTGGGAGCCTGGATCTGCAGAAAATTGCTTCTCCGTTCTGGAAAGAGAAACATGCCGCTGCATCTCTGGAGCTGTCACATTCCAGTTTTTCCATTCATGATCCATAGCAGTCTGCCTCTTCATCCGTCCATCCTCCCATCCATCCATCCATCCATCTCTCCATCCATGCATGCATCTATCTATCCACCCACTCATCCACCTATCCACCCACCCACTGGTCCCCCTGCTATATTTAGCTTCCCGAGACAACTCTTACCACTTACTTGGAAGGGCTTGGCTCAGATTCACTGGGAACAGTAACCAGCCATGCTTTCTGCCCCAAGCCAAAAGAAGCTGGTTTCTACTGCAGGTCCTGAAGGTGACTGAAGGTGCATGAAGAGCTACTGAGTGTCCAGAGGCAGGCAGGGATGGAGGGATGGAAGGATGGAAGATAGAAGGGTAGAAGAATAAAGGATGGAAGGATGGATAAAAGGTAGAGGGATGAGGGTAGAGGATACAGGGGTATAAGAATGGAGGAATGAGGGATGGAGGGTTGAAGGAAAGGGATAGAGAGGGGTGGAGGGATGGAGGAGTGAAGGCACAGAGGGATGAGGGATGGAGGGATGGAGGGGTATAGGAATGGAGGGATGAAGGGGAGGGATCAGAAGGGTGGAGAAAAGTATAGGGATGAGGAATGGAGGGGAGGGAATGAAGATGGATGAATGAAAGGATGAGGAATGGAGGGATGAAGGGTGGTGGGATGGAGGATTAAGGGGTTGGAGGAATGAAGGGAGGAGGGATGGAGAGTAGAGGGATGATGGATGGAGGGTGGAGGGATAGGGCATAAGGATTGGAAGGTGGAATGTGAAGGGATAAAAGGTGGATAGAGGTTGGGTCCTGTTCCAGAGGCACAAAGAGGGGGTCCTCAATCTTGTCTTCCCCAAAGCAGTCATCCCCAGGGGTTCTTGGGTCTTATCTTGAGCAGTGGTGGTAGCTTTCCTTTCTCTCTGCCATCTAAGGCTAGGTCCTCACCCCACTGCTTGCTTTGGGCCGACATCTCAGCTCCAGGTTCCTTGGTTTAGGTCCTTACCTACCTGCCGACCTAGCTGTCTTTGGGCTCAGGCAAGGTCTTTCCTAAGAGCAGGGAAGGGCCAGAGTGACCCAGGGGTGGGAGGTGCCCAATTCAATGGGAGCCATCCTGTCCCCACCGCCCACCCAACACCCCCAGGTGGAGTCTACTGTCATTTCATTCCTGGTTTTGAAGATTGTCTTTGCAGATTGCTGGTTCCTGTGGGGTGGTGTCTGATCCTGCACCCCAAGGGGATGCTCAGGAAAAAATAATGAATTTCTTTTGTACTTTAAGATTCCTTAAGTACTTTTTCCCACAACAGTCTTGAAGGGGGAGGAGGAGAATAGCATAAGATATTATTACCCCATTTTACAGATAAGTAAACTTAAGCCTAAAAAAGTTAAATGCCTCATGCAAGTTCACCCAGCTTGGAAGTATTGGAGACAAGGTTTGAACCCCAGTCTCTTTTTTTTTTTTGCTAGGCAATAGGGTTAAGTGACTTGCCCAGGGTCACACAGCTAGTGAGTGTTATGTGTCTGAGGCTGGATTTGAACTCAGGTCCTCCTGACTCCAGGGCCCGTGCTCTATCCACTGTGCCACCTAGCTGCCCCCTGAACCCCAGTCTCTTGAAAGAGCAATAAGGTATACTAGAAAGAAGCTTTGGAAATCATTAGACTGGGTTGGTATCTCAACTCTGCTACCTGTATGACGTTGGACAAGTCATTTAACCTTCTAGGGCCTCGTTTTACTCAAATGCAAAAGGAGGAGGAGGATGAAGGGACCCTCCCAGCTCTAAATTTTATTATCCCAAGACCTGGATTTCAATCCTAGCTATGCTTCTTGCTATCTGTGTGACCTTGAGCAAATCCCATGACCTCTCTGGGTGTCAGTTTTCTCCTCTGTAAAATGGGGGTGGGATAGGCTAGATGATGTCTAAGTCCTATGAGCTTATGACCCCAAGCCCATGATTCTGACCCCTACATGCTGTCTCACCAGAAGAGACTTTTTAAACCTTCAAGTGCCTCAGAAGGCAGGCTGTGAATTCTTCTCATTATTATTAGGTGGCCAAGGGAGAAGCTGTCTTTAGCTAGCCTCCTCCAGGAGGTTGCCTGCCTGTCTGAGGGAGGTGGTCTTGGTCTCCACAGGCGACAGCGAGGAATCAGAGACCATCACTGCTGCCTTTTGCCCGCAGGCAAGTGATGGAGGCAAAGCTCCAGGGTGGGGTTGAGGCTGGCAAGATGATGGACTGAAGGGGCATCCACCCAGCCCTAAGGCTGGGCTCTGAGGCTTACTCTTTCTCAATGCCAAATGTCCCATGGGGGCCTGGGTTCCCTCTGGGATTGCTTTTCCTCTAACAACTACCCTGCATACCCCAAGACAGCTGGAGACTCACCCTATCTCAAACACAGGGTCGTCCTTCAGTGACAGTATCCTCAAGGGACCCCCTCTTCCACTGATTTGACCTAAGGGTAACTCATATTCTCATTGGTAAAAATGAGGGAAGTGAACCAGGTAAAGTCTGAGTTCCTTCCCAGGTCTATCTTCATTATCCAAGGCTGTCCTCCCCACACTGTTCCCCTTTCCTAATGAACAGAAGGTACCTCTGAACCCCAGAGACCCAGCAGAAGGGTCCTCCTTTACCCCGACAATGAGCCAGCACAATGGAGTCCATTAGGCTAGAGTAGAAAGGGCACAAGATTGGATGTCAAGTGACCTGGGTTCAAATCCTGTGTGGTCTTCAACCAGTTTCTTCTGCTTGCTGGACCTCAATATCCTCATCTATTTAAAAAAAAAAAGAAGGCAGAAGAGGTAGGATTAGAGCCAGGGGTAGGGAATCTTCAGCCTCGAGGCTACGTGTGGCCTTCTAGGTCCTCAAGTGCGATCCTTTGACTGAATCCAAACTACAGAACAGTTTGGATTAGGTCAAAGAGCCGCACTTGAGGACCTAGAGGGCCATGTGTGGCCTCAAGGACGCAGATTCCCCACCCCTGGATCATTAGACTGAATAATCTTTGAGGTCCCTTCATAGGATCTTTCCTCCTACCAGTCCAATACAAGAGGTTTCTTTCTAATTTTCCAGTATTAGGAACCGTCTCTCCCATTATATATGTTCCCTTCCTTAAAGGATCCCTTCTCCAAACTGATAACTTCCCTCTACAACAGTCAGATGTCTCTAGCCTCAGACACTTGTTAGCTGTGTGACCTTGGCAAGTAATTTAACCTCCACCTCAGTGTTCTCAACTGTAAAATGGGGATAATAATAACACCTACCTCGCAAGGTTGTTATAAAGCTCAAGTAAGGTAATTTTGTAAAGCACTTAGCACAGTGCCTGGCACATAGTTAAGAGGTATATAAATGCTTATTCCCTTCTCCTTTCCTTCCTCAAACCAACTTTGTTGATGAATGAATGAATGAAATGGGAGTGAGCTAGGGTGTTGCAGTATGGTATACACACAGATAAGTATGATATAAGGGCAGAATGTGATAGTACCAAAAGAGAGATTCTGATGAAGTGCTCTAAGCAAATTTGAGGGAGATTGCAATAGGATTCTAGGATACAATAGTAAAAGGATTGTTTGTGAATATTTGGAAAGGGAAGCAGTGATCACTAAGAGTCTTCATCAGGAAAAGGTCATCCTAGAATAACCACACCTCCTGTTTTTGTTTTTGTTTTTGTTTTTTGTTTTTACAGAGATAGTAGAGTGATTGATGAGGGAATTACCTTAGATAGAGTGTATATGAATTTCAATGTTATTTGACAAAATCTCTCATGATGATACTTTTGTGGACCATATGGAGATGGGAAACAGATGATATTCCAATTAGGTGAACTGGAAACTGGGTAAATGACTAGACCAAAAGAAATGGTAATTAATGGATAACAACTCACATTCACATCATGCATTAAGGTTAATAAAGTCCTTTCATAAGCCAGAGGAATGTTTCTATTGGAGTGCCCCAGTAATGTGTCCTGTGCCCTGTGTTAATCAACGTTTTTATCAGTGACTTGGATAAAGGCATAAATGACATCCTTATCCAATTTTCAGAGAACATTAAGCTGGGAAGAGTAGCTAACTCATTGGAAGATGACAGAGTCAGATCCAGAAAGGTTCAATAAGCAAGACCAATGAGCCAAATCTAAGAATAAATGTACTAGTGACAATGCAAAGTCCTACATGTGGGTTAAAAAAATCAACCACCCAAGTACAGGCTGAAACAGATGTGGCTACACAATAATTCCTGAGAGAAAGATCTGAGGGTCCTAGTGTCCTGTATAGTCAACAATGCAACACAGCAGGTAAAATTAGTAATTAAATGCAGTGGGCTGCATTAATAGAGACATAGTATCCCAGATCAGGGAAATGACAAACCCCTTTCCCTCTGCCCTAGTCAGACCCCATCTGGAGCATTTATTGTTTTCCCCTTCTTTACTTTTAATATGGGAATAATTTAACTTACATTATCATTCACTAAGTTGTTGTGAGAGAAGTACTTTGTGAGTCTAAATGCACTAAGGAATTATTACTTCGTTGTTATTAGAATGTAAGCTTCCAAAAAGAGAAACTCTGGCCATAACATCTCAGTCCTCACCATGTCAGTGCCCAACATAAGGCCTTACATGCAATAGGGAATCAGTAAATGTTTGTTGTACGAATATACAATCACACTTCCTCTCCCTATGGTCAGTCAGTCAGTCAATAAGCATTTATTAAGCACCCACTATATGCTGGAAACCAAGCTAAGTGCTGGGGGATATGAAGAGAGGCAAAAGACGGTCCCTGCCTTCTGAGAGCTCACAATCTAATGTGGGAGAAAACATGCAAACAGCAATGTACAAACAAGGTACACTGAGGGCAGACTGGAGGGGATCCGTAGAGGGCAGGCACTAATGCTAAGGGAGGTCAGAAAAGGCTTCTTGCCGAAGGTGGGATGTTATCTGGGTCTTGAAGGAAGCCAGGGAAGCCAGGAGAAAGGAGAGGAGAGGAGCAGGGGTTGAGGAAGCC